CTATGTCACAGAGTGATAGAAGAAGAACTTTACATTCACATCCTCACACTCAGGCACCTATCAATGAAGAATCAGAGAAAATAGATACTACACAATACACAGAAGTCACAGAAGAGATCATGGAGTCATCTGCAAACAGTGGAGCAGACCATGGATCAGATGATGGCACCTCAAGCCCACAAGCAACGCGTACAGAAGCGCGACACACAAGTACCATGCCTAGAATGGGTTCAGATGGTATGATATCAATGACATTCAATGACCTGATGGCATTCTGTGACAGAATGAGCGCGTGTCGAGTAGCCATCCCTGCGGCAGATGATTCCAAATCTGAGATCCGCGAATATCAAAAGGATGTTCAAAAAGCCATGGATACCAAAGCTGTAACCACATTTGATGACAATAACTATGAGATCTGGTGTACAGGAATCCTTGCGGACACTGAAGTCATCAGCAGATCTGACATTCTTATGAAGAACCAATGTATCTGTTCAGAAGACATCAGTCAAGACATGTTAAGTGCTGAAAAATGAAGCATTTGCACCAAAGCACTGTATCAACATATGTTGCAGTTCTTATTAGAACCTGTACATACAATTATTGAAACCCTTGAGCCAGATAATGCAGCCGCGCTATGGGAAAGGATTGGAGTTGAATATGCTGTCTCACTTGCGGAGGAACATATGAATATTGTGAAAGAATTCACTATCTTACATGTCAGAGATAATGATTATCTGGCATTTCAGAGGAGATTCTGTTATCTAGTTGCATGTCATAAGGAATTGACAAATAACTTGAAAGACTTCTACCATGATCTCTTCCTTGTTGATCTGAAGGAGCATCAAAAGTCTTTTATCAAGACATGTTTAGATGATTTCTACATGTCTGGCCAGGACTCTATATACAACATTGATATTGATGATCTCATGAAACAGTTGACAAACTGTACAAGCAAGTTCAAGAATGAAAATCCTAAGCCTCAGTGAGTCAATGCAACTACTATGACTCCCTCTACATTGTCCGCACACAGTTTCAAATGTGAGATATGCAGTTCAAGATAACACTGGAAAAACACCTGTTGGTGTCTGCATTCAGAACTTGCTACTGAACAGTGATGTGAGTTAAACAAGGAATATATCATTACACCTGAGAAGAACAATAGCAACAATGCCAGTACCAGCGGACGCGGCAAGTGGAAGGGTAAAAAGAAGGATAAAGATGATAAGAAGAAGGAATTCTCTGACCTTATAGCCTCACAACCTGCAGCTGTCAATGCGGCAATTGCTTTTTCAGCAACTATTGATACAATAAGCAAACCTTGGTTTCTTGACACATGTGTGAGTTTTCACATGACAGGTGAAAAGCAGTCTCTCATCCAGCAGAAGATGTACAATGACAATATGAAGGTTCACACAGTGGATGGAGGTTACAGCCATGTCAAAGAGATCAGTGATCTTCTCCTAGAATCTGAAGAAGGGGATATCACTGTCTGCAATGTTCATTATGTTCTCAACCTCACAGTCAACCTATTGTCATTCACTAGGTTGGAGGACCAGGGTTTTCAATATAAGCTTTCAAGCTTGAACACCTCATTCTATTTCATCATTAAAGTATCAAGTGGAGTGATTTTCACTGCAATTTGTACATCTCAAAACTCAATTTATAAAATAGTTGAAAGAATGTCAGAAGTTGATGTACATCATGAGTCTAAAGCAGTCTACTTCACAGTGAAATCATATGTATATGATAATGACTATGCTAAAGCCATGGCCACTATTGGTGACAATGATCCCACCATTGATCAACCTCAACATTGAGAATCACCTACAACCGTGAAAACACTTGCGGAGTGACATGTTGACCTGAAACATATACACGCGGGAGCTATTATAGCATTGGCAAAGAATCCACTATCTGGCATCTGCATCAAAGGCATCAAGACCAATTTCTTTTGCAACATCTGTGTTAAAGCGGGCATGACATGTAAATACTCAATCACCCCCATGCCATGGGCCGTACGCTCAATGGAGCGGATCCATATTGATCTTGCAGGTGGCGGGCGGATGTTGAGTGAGTCTACAGACCACTCTGTTGAATCGCGGCAGGGTAATAAATATTACATGTTAATCACAGATGACGCGACCAGATATAGATGAATCTATTTCTTACACACCAAGGACCAAGCTTACAATTACTATGCACACTGGGTTCAATTCATGAAGAACCTAGGTTTTACTGCACCAGCATATGTCAGGACTGATGTTGATGATATGTTCAGATTCATGAAGATTACAGCATTGTTCATCAATCATGGCACAGTATGAGAATCAACTACTTCTCAATCACCACACCAAGATGGCGTGTCTGAGCGCGGAATACATACAATTATGGCCCGTGTCAGGGCAGTTCTTATCAGCAAGAAGATTCTGAAGAAATTCTGGATGAACATTCTGAAAACAGTTGTTTCAATCACAAATAATACACCCACATCTACAGTTCTATATAATGAAAAGTATTGGCCTGCAGTTGCAGATGATGATAGCAAAGAAGCTGTTCATAGCTCTCATATGATTCCTTTTTCAGCATTGATGAACACCCCACCGCAGATCACACATTTCCATGAGCTTGGAACTGATGTTTTTGCTCACCTTCATGAATCACAGAAGCTGTTGGATAAGTTGTCCGCACGGGCTGATTCATATAAACTTATTGAATTCTGTGGATGTTCAATCTATCGCTTGTGAAGTCCTACAACAGATAAAATTATTGACACAAGTGATGTGGTTTTCTCTGCAAAAGTGCAAGAAATGCTGAAGATTACTACAACTACAACTGCAGCAACTGACACTGTTTCTATCACCTATTTGGTGGAGGATTCCGACATTCCTGAATTGATGAGTACAGATTGAATGCAGTCAGTGAAGGCATTTGCAGCTTACACTCTCACCCCCATTACCAGTTCCCTTCCAAAATCACACAAGGATGCTATGAGTAGATCAGGGATGGTGGAAGATTATTGAAAGAAATCAATGCAACACAAAATATCTGACCTTGAGAGGCACAAGACCTGGACACTTATTCCATGTTCTGATGTCCCATATGATGAACCAGTGGCACCTGATCACTGGGTATTCATTGAAAAGGACCGCCCTGATGATCCCAATGCTGATGAGAATGATATATTGCAAAAATCTTGATGGGTTGTATGTGATAACTGATTAAAGAGAGGCACTCGCCAGGAGACTTATGCCCCTGTGATTACAGATACAACAAACTGAATGATGTTCATAATTGCTGCAAAGCATGATTGAACCCTATGACAAGTGAATATAGTAATGGCATATCTGCATGATAGATTAGGGAAAACAGTCTATATGAGACAACTCACAGACTTTGAACAAGGAACTCAGTGTACACTCATCTGTGCAGTTGAAGGATCTCTATATGAATTGAATCCAGCTGCTAAAATATGGTATGACTACTTGACAGCTATACTGTGAGAAAATGGCTTCAGTCTGAGTTCTTATGACCCTGCTCTTTGGAAGCATTCAGCCTGAAAACACCTGTATATGACCATATATGTTGATGATCTTCATATCTTTGCGGATGCCCTGAAGGATGCTGATTGACTTGTTGATATTTTGCAGCAAAAACTAGAGATCAAAGACTTAAAGAAACCCACAAAATATCTAGGAATGAAAGTGGAACATATGAAGAGTGAAATCAAATTGACACTCTGATGTTATATCAATGGATTGATAGAAGATTTTCACCTAGATGATGCGACTGCTGTCTGTACACTCATGAATGAGAACCTATGTCTAGATGACTCCTCCATTCTCAAAAAAGAAAGTGGTTTTACAAAGTGATGATTCCAGCATGGTGTTGGGTGCCTGCAATACTTAGCTGTCAAGCTGCGGCTGGATATCGCCCGCGCGGCATCTCTACTGGTGCAGAAGAACACTGCTCCCACCTCTAAGGTGTGGAAGGCCCTATTACATGTCATTCGATATTTGAAAGGAACGCGCGAGATTGGCATATTCTATGTGAAGGATGATGATGAGGGATCCAAGAATGAATTCCTGAACATGGCATACATGCCGGTCGGATATACAGATTCCGATTGGGCCGGCCTGTTGAATGATGATTATAAATCTACATCTGGTTACATCTTCAAATTGGGGAACGCGCCGATTTCATGGCGATTGAGCAAGCAACCCTGTGTATTCTTAAGCTCTAATGAGGCTGAATATGTGGTGTTGAGCGATGCTGTACGCGAAGCAACATGGTTGAGAAGTATGATGATGAATCTGGGCTTCATTGGAACAGAAGACCCCCTGCCAATCAAGGCAGATAATAAGGGGGTGATTGATCTTGTCACAGTGACTGCAATCACCGCGAGGAGCAAGCATATTGACACTCAATTCCATTACACCCGCAGCCAATTGAACAATGGCATAATCTCAATTGATTACATCTCAACTGAAGAAATGGCAGCAGATGGATTGACTAAACCCTTGAGTGCAATTGCATTTCATTGATTCCTTGATTTACTAGGTTTTACAGGTGAAGAGGGACAGAATACACAAACTCAATGCAGGTAGCATGATTTGGATGGATTTGAGAATGGCATAGCTAGATCTGCAAGAGATGATTGATTCTTTATTATGGTGTTTGTGATCTCGCATGGCGATGCGAGGGGGGGTGTAGCATCCGCCCTAGTGGCGTTGCCGTAGCGACCGCTCCGCCTACACGTGATCTCATATGTAATATATATAGCTAGCTCTTCCTACACGAATACAACAGATTAACCATCCCACAGTTTCTTCTCAGACACTTTGTAAGATATCATCACTCACATGACCTGATTTTACTATTTGAGTTAGCTTATTGCTTATTTGAGATTAGCTCATGACATAATCATCAATCCAGTGTTAAAACAGCAATGGATATCTGGAGAAGCGTCTGAGCTTGCTGAGATAATGTAAACCCTAACAAGATATAAAGTAGTTACTTCATGTAAAACCCGTCCTTGTACGGGCATGGGAATATATATAGTAAGCCCGCGTTTCTTCGATTTAAACGACGGAATATCCGACATTGCCCTCGGCGGTAATGCGGGGCGCTCCGGACTTCCTAATCCATGAATAGCCTTTACATGCTTATAGTTCAGGTTGATATCCAATGGCTCTTTGAATGGCTCAGATAAGTAAGCTGACCTATCTACCTCCTGCTTCCAGGATACTCCCATATTCAAAAGCTCAACATCCAATCCCTTTCCTTTGGGAGCAGAAGCAGTAAATAATGGTTGGAATCGCGCTCTTGGGCGCCGGCATCTTTGCGAGGGAAGGTCAGCTTAGATATTTATGCTCCGTGATATTATCCCTATAAAGCACCTATGGAAATACTAAACAACGGCCCCGCTCCACAGCCCACGTCCCCGCGATACTCAAAAATGCCGCAGCAAAAGTCCTAGCTGTGTACTCTCGTTCCGAGAATTCTGCAAACTCGGTAGTCGAGGCCCTAAACAACACCACTACTCCCATCGATGTATATTCCGACGAGAAGCCCGGCCACGGGCTCGATGAACTCCTCCAGCGCCCAGACATCGAGGCAGTCATCGTCCTGCTTCCCATCCTCGTCCTGCCCGCCGTCGTCCGCAAATGCCTCGCAGCAGGCAAACATGTCCTGGCCGAAAAGCCCATTGCAAAGGACATAGCCACCGGCCGCGCCCTGATCACCGAGTATGAAACCACCTACGCGCCGCGCAACCTGGTGTTCTCGGTCGCAGAGCAGTTCCGCTATGACACCGGGTTTCTCAAGGCTAGCGAGGTCGTCGCTAGCGGCACGATCGGTGAGCTGCACCATGTCCACGCGCGCGTCGCGACCAGCATGGCGCCGGAGAACAAGTACTTTCAAACCGCCTGGCGCGCTGAGCCCGGGTACCAGGGCGGCTTCGTCCTGGATGCGGGTGTTCATTTCGTTGCGCTGGTGCGCATGGTTGCCGGTCAGGAGATTGTCGAGACGAAGAGCTTCACGGCCCAGTTCGCGCCGCACCTGCGGCCCCTTGATACCGTTAATGCTGCGCTGAGGTTCTCGAAGGGTGCGCAGGGGACGCTGAGTATATCCTTTGCGGCCGCGACGTATATTGCGGACTTTGTCTTTATCGGCACCGCGGGTGTGTTGACTGTTAAGTGTGCAGGCGTTGATACGACGGTTCGTGTTGAGGGAGGGGATCGCAACGTTGTTTCTGAGGAAGTCTTCCCGGCGGATGGGAATGTGAATGAGATCCGTGCTTTTGTACAAGCAATTGCTGCTGGTAAGGGGGATAGGGCTGGGAGTCCCCGTGAGGCTCTGGCGGACGTTGCTGTGATTGAGAGTGTATGCGCTGGTGGTGGCCTTGTTCAGTCTCATGAGATATAGAGTCAGTTAGAATGTGAAAATGAAATGAAAGTGTATCTTCCTCAGCCTTCCACTCTCAACATAGTTAGAAGTTTACCATACATAGCTAGCTGTCTCAAAATGGTTGCCAACAACAAGTTTCTTTCAGATCAATAAAACACAGCTGTACTTTACCCGTTTCCTCTAACATTAGTGACACTGTTTTTCTTGTTAAGATACATACCTGCGAAGGTTAGTTAATTTGAATATGTACCTGCAGATACTGTTTCATAATTAAAGGCATAATGAAAACCTCAACTACCTTCCCAGATGTGGAGTTAGTTCCAAATGCTTCACTTTCATACTTCCTTCTTTTACTCGAGCAATAGATAATAACCAAGTACGTGTACATGGCACTGTGCGATTAGCAAAAAGCTACGCAACAAATAGCTATACGGATATTGTCTATTTATCCAAAAAATTTCTCAGATATATAATCTATCTAAAAAAATACCCCACCAACTCAGAGAAAATTTTGCTTTTTCCTTTCCCTCGTCAAATCAAAACATGAAACAACACAAACCATCCTGCTTCACCCTCACCACTTCTCAAAACCTCAAATCCCATCCAATCTTCGGCCCCAACTCCGGCAAAGCATCCGCCACGCTCTGCACATCCTTATCCCCCCGCCCACTCAGATTAAGCACAATATTCGTCCCCTTCTCCATCGTCTTCGCCAGCTCCACCGCACCAAACACCGCATGCGACGACTCCAGCGCAGGGATGATACCCTCCAGCTCGGTTATGAGCCGGAAACCCTGTAACGCCTCTGCATCAGTCGCAGCAATGAAGCGCGCCCGGGAATCGTCCTTCCAGGACGAAAGCTCCGGTCCAACACCGGGGTAGTCGAGGCCGGCGGAGATGGAGTGCGTGTCTGCGATCTGGCCGTCTTCGTTTTGCAGGATGTAGGTGCGCACACCGTGCAGGACACCCTTGGAGCCGTGCGAGAGGGTCGCGGAGTGGCGGGCGGTGTCCGTGCCGTCGCCGCCGGCTTCGACGCCGAGGAGCTTGACGGTGGGGTCCTTGGAGAAGGGGTAGAACATGCCGACGGCGTTGCTACCACCACCCACGCAGGCGACGACGGCGTCGGGTAGCCTGCCTGTGAGCTTTAGCATTTGTTCCTTGGTCTCTTCACCGATGACGGATTGGAGAGTGCGGACGATGGTGGGGAAAGGATGTGGTCCGATGGCAGAGCCAATGACGTAGTGAGTTGTATCGAGATGAACGACCCAAGCGCGGAGTGCTTCGTTGACGGCATCACGGAGGGTGCGCGAGCCCGCTTCAACGGCGACAACTTTGGCTCCGAGGAGTTTGATGCGGAAGACGTTCAGGGCTTGGCGACGGACGTCTTCAGCACCCATGTAGATGACGCACTCCATGCCAAATTTCGCGCAGACGGTAGCTGTGGCCACACCATGCTGGCCAGCCCCTGTCTCTGCGATGATTCGCTTTTTGCCGAGGCGGCGTGCTATCAAAACTTGGCCGAGCGCGTTGTTGATCTTGTGGCTTCCTGTGTGATTCAGGTCTTCACGCTTGAGGTAGATGTTGGCTCCACCAGCATATTCGGTCAGGCGTTCTGCAAGATGCAGGCTGCTTGGTCGACTCATATATGGATAGTACGACCGAAACTCTTCCCAGAATTTGGGGTCATTCCTAGCCTCATTGAATCCTGCTTCAAGCTCTGACAGGCTGTCCATGAGGGACTCTGGCACGTACTGGCCACCAAACTCGCCAAAACGGGCAGGCATTGCGGCCTGATCTCCGGTCACATTGAGCGCTTCCAGCTGATCAGCTAGTCCGGCTCCAGACTCGTTTTCGCCATTATCGATCGCCTTGTCGACTTGGGCGTTCCTTGGCTCCTGGGCGTGAGCAAGAGCTTCAGTAAGTCCCACTTCTCGAGTCATAGGCTCGGCCTCTGTGTTACGTTCCACTTTCCTGCCAGTGATACTAGTGCAATATTCTTCGATCTTCTGGGCTCGTTGGCCAGGAGGTGCTTCACTCAGAACGTTGATCATCTGGCTACCGATGACGGCGCCTTCAGAGATCTCCTGCACCTTGAGGAAATGTTCTCTTGTGCTAATGCCGAACCCTAACGCAGTGGGAATGTTTCCCGAGTAGGAATGGACCCGGGCAAGGAGCTCCGGGAGTCCTTCGCTTAGTTTCCCAGTTGCACCTGTAACACCCATTCGAGAAACGACATAAATGAAGGAATCAGCGATCTTGCAGAGTAATTTCATTCGAGAATCGGAGGTGGCGGGTGCAATCAGTGGAACGTAAGATAACCTGCACCCCGGGTCAGTATGACACATAACGAATCACCAAAAACGATAACGTCGAGATAAGATTCTAGACTTTCAAGGAGAAAAGCCAATCGAGTATTCCGAAAAAAAAAAAAAAAAAAAAAAAAAAAAAAAAAAAAAAAAAAAAAAAAAAAAAAAGGAATGCAGCGAAAGAAAAAGGAGAGGGAAAATAAAATATTCGTGCGTACCCCTCCCTCCGGCACAGATCCCGGAATCGTAGCGCTTCTTCAGGTGGAAGATCAACCATGATGAATCCATTTACGCCAGCCGCCCTCGCGTCCTTCAACATTCGTTCCTCCTTGTACTGGAGCAACGGGTTATAGTATCCCATGAGCAATACGGGAATCCTCAGCCCCCGGCTCCTCGCGGTGCGCACCATATCCAGCACCGACGTAACGGTCACACCATTCTTCAACGCTTGCGTGTTGGCTCTTTGGATGGTAGGACCGTCGGCGATAGGATCTGTGAAAGGCATACCCAGCTCGATCAAATCTAATATTTTCGCAACGAGGAGCGACACAACCAAGTCAGCAATTTTGTGTTTTTCGAGACGTTTTTTTTTTTTTTTTTTTTTGTCTTGTTCTCTTTCATCCTATTCGTTTACTCGCCCCACCCGTTTCTCCCTTTCTACATTTCTTGCATAGGGAATAACTGCGATAAATAAGAACAGGTAGCGAATACAGAGGATAGTTGGAAAAATAGAAAGCGCTATAAAGCTTGCACGAAAGTGCGGGAGACGCGGATATCGTATAGTAACTTGATTAAAACACACGTATACCAGCATCACCCTCCCTCCCTCTCCCTCTCCCTCTCTCCCTCCCACCTTCGCAGTTCAAAGGCCGGCTGCTGTGCCATTTCCCACCGCATAACAGTCGAGAAACGACAACAACAACACAAATTCCAACATAAGAAACAACAAACGAGAACAAGTGGTGAACGAGAACAAAAGCTATCAAGAAAAGAAAAAGAAAAAAGAAAAAAGAAAAAAGAAAAAAAGAAAAAAAGAAAAAAGAAAAAGGAGCGTCTGACTCACCAGCCCCACCAGCTTCCATCCCGAGCATGACATCTGGGGTGTCATGCTTCTCGGGGTAACCAGCTGTAACATAGGCGACGAGCGCACAGCGCTTCTCCTTCTTGCATTGCGCGAATGTCTGCTTTATCTTCTCCATTGCCGGCTCACGAATATGTCACGGGCTTTGCGATAGTTTGTGTGGGGGAGGGCGTGTGTTGTGTGTGTTGTGTGCGGGGTGGAATGGAATGGAGCTGTCGAAAGCAAATCCGAAAATCCGAGGATGGTATAGGACGAATGGAAGAATTCAATTCGATTTCAATTCCAACTCCAATCCGTAGCGGCGTATAATCGAGAGAGTGAGTGGAAGAATGCACATGCGGTGTCTGTGGGGTATTGTATTGGGAGTTGCGGCGCAATTCTATTCTAGGTAGGACGTTTTGCCTTTTCTTTTTCCTTTTCCCGTTCCTTTTTCCCCCTCGTAAGTTGGTAAGTTAACTATCTTAAATTTGAAGAGAGATACAATGAGCAATTGGGCTTCCTTTACCTCAGTTCAGCAGTGTGTAATCTGTCGAGAGGCGCACACACGGAGAGAAGAGAGAGAGAGAGCGAAATAGAGAGTGAGATAAGCTTTGCTCTTGTCTCTCTCAATATAAAAGGGTGGGTTGAAGTGGGGAGTGACTCAACTCTGGCCTGATTACATAAGTTTCTGATTCCCGAGTCCGCCACTGCACTGACTGGTGCCTCCTCGATGACTAAGCGGGTATAGAGCAAGAACTGTAATGTATGTATGTATGTACTGCAGTATACAATGTACAGTACAATGTACAGGTACAATGTATGCACTCTGTATGTAGGTGTGGGATGGCGTGCAGGAAATGCGCGACGGCCGTTTGGAAACAAAGATCTAAGAGAGTTGGTTACCCAGTCCTGTTTGTCGTATAATGTAACTAGTTGTGTCTTCGCGATCTTCGTCTCTTCGTATCCGAAGGTTACTCAACAAGCAAAAAAAGTTCCAAAACAACTTTTAATGAACACATCTAGTCAGCCATGTCATGTTGCAACATTTGATAACTTACATTATTTTTTAAAAAGGTAATCACTATATCTGAAATAATACGCAAGAGTAGTATTTATCTTCGAAGATGCATAAATACAAGAAGCATTTTAGATTCATTGATCAATTAAATAATCCGTGTGCAATTTAGAACTCTGTATGTTAGTCTGATAGTGAAAAGGAAATAGTGAAAAGAAGTTACTGAAAGAAAAATGAATTAGGAGATATCGAGATAAAAAAAACATAGATTATGGAAAATATGAAATTAGATAGACTAAACAATCAAAGGAAACTAGGAAAACAAAAACCAAAAACATCCTGCACATATATCCCATTGCCCAGCCATAAAGAGAACAAAGAAAACAAAATAAGACAACACAAAAACAAGACAACATAGATAAAAATAACAAAAAATAACATATCCCAAGCCCAATTCCTTAAAGAGTAGAAACACACAAAATAGTTAAAAATACCAAGAAAGGAGTCCCAGATCCAAATCCCAATGCAATATTTATGCAAGCAAAAGGTTCAAAAAAACAACAAAAAACAATTCCCTCCCCGATGCATAAAACATAACAAAAAACAAGGGAAGCATATTCGTCAAAAAATATGGCCCTAGCGCTAGGTTTCAAAGGAGTGTGACCTGTGATGCATGCTTATTGTATATGAAAGGATAGACCAGAAAAAATAAAATAAAAATAAAATAAAAAAATGCTCGAAGGGGATTCCCGTACCCTGAGTGCTGTGCACGCGAAGAGGGGGAAAGAAAAGAACAAGCAAGTATAGCAACCGATCGAAGGTGTGGGTGGGTATGTCTGGCTGGCCCTGTTTGGCGGAGCGAGGCAAGTATATAAAAAAAATCACCCGCAGCAAAAACAAGCCTGATTTGAGAGTTGCAGCCGACATTAAAATTCGGAATTGATGAGACACAAGCCGCGGGGGGGAGGAGGTGGGGAGCGGGGGACGTGTATGATAGGCGGTAAGTAGCGGATGTAGAAGAAGGGGGGAGGCGTGAGAGAGGTAGGTATTGGTAGTTAGTAGTTGTGTATTGAAAAGGGGGGGTGTGGTTCGGCGTGCGTCGAAAATATAAAAATGTCTAGAACGGGGTACGGGAATCGTCGTAAAGGATCGACATGAAATGAAAGATGAAATGTAGAAAAATAACGCCGCCGTGAGTTTCCTTCTGTTTCCCAATCCCCTCTCCCCTTATATACGCCTAGTCAACTTTCGCTGGGAAGCAAGATGTGACAAAACGTATACAAAAAGGGACAAATGAAGGGATAAGCCGAAAGCTTGAATGAAACAACGCACACACAAAAAACGCCGCGCTCGTGTTGTTCTAAAATGGGGTTCGTTAAAGGAGTGACGAGAAAGGAAAATCGTTGAAGATGAAAAAAGATCAAAAACAAATGTCGCTATGCATCGGATGGTTTAAAGGAGTGGCTGATTGGATGGGGACGCCGAGAAGTTCGAAAAGAAAAACAAAATTGAGGCGAAAAAAAAATCAAATCCGTTTTACCCATGGGCTGGCTATGCAATGAATTAGGAAAATAAAATCGAAATACTTGGAACAAGGCGGAAAAAGAGGAGTGTGACGGGTTCGTGCGTAGGTAGGTAGTTGAGAGGGAAAATGTCGGTTCCCTAGAGAGATGTATCGAAGTTTTCTGTCGTGTTCATGTTGTGTAAGGAGGATAGGAAGATCAGGAGCGAATCGAGCAGGATGTTGTGAGAGGAGAGAAAAGTGCAAGGATGAGCACATCATAACGCATTACGACGCAACAAGAGTTCTGTTCGAACAAATGACAAGGGCATTGAGCGTGGCCCACGCAAAATGATCGGTGGCATAAAAAAAAAGCATTGGTAAACTGTGTTGCATGACTGAACCCATGTATGTCCCGGAGAACAAGTCACTCAAAACATAGCCAAGAGAACCCAGGTAGTGACCAAGCATTTGCCAAGTGAGGATCTGAGGTTTCAACCCAACTGTAGCAGGGCAATTGCAGGATCCCGATTGGCTAGTAGCCACCACAGAGTTCTTCTCAGAACCTCTATGGTCCGGTGGTTGGATGGCCCAGCGAATATACTGGCGGGGCCGCATAATCCTGGCTAACATGGCCAAGATGGCTCTGGCGCGCATAACTGAGCGAATGGTTGGGAGCAGCAGTAGTACCTGGACTGGAGTTGACGAATGCGCCAAAGTCCCACGGACCACGATTACCAGGTGCAGTAGGGGCCGCCTGAGGCTGCTGGTGGTGGTTTATATTCTGGTAAGGGTACGGAGCCGGTAGGTTCGAATAATGGCGGCTGTTGTTGGTTACCATTAATCGAAGGTCAACTGCACCAGGAACTGGAGAAGTATCCAGAACCGCTTTTGGTGCGTGGAAATGGGGAGATATGCCGCTGGCGGACACGTTGGTAGCATATGTAGTGGAGGCACCCGTTTCGGAAATTGATCGTGGAGATGTGGCATGAAGATCTGCGCTGCCATCTGATGCGCTGCTGGTGCCAACATAATTTGAGCTAATGGTCGCCGTAAGAGCACCCGCAGTAGACGAGTAGCTTGCGGACTGTCATATAAAGGTCAGCTTTCGCATGTTCACAAAGTTCTCGTTTTGGGATATGGAGAGAAGAATAAAGGTTGGGGGAAAAAATAGAGAAAAATAATACATACGTATTTCCCAATAATCTTCTTGAGAGCATGAGAAAGGATCCTCCAGGGGAAAACTTTTACATCCTTTTCGATATTGCGCGGTTTCGGATTCGGAAAGCCCATGATGACTTTGAAAAAGTCTTCGCTGTCCGGTTTCGCTTTGGAAACTGTCAAGGGACGGAAACCTTCCAGGTTCCTCCGAATGCGATTCTTCTCCTCAACTGTGAATCTGACTCCAACAAGCGATTCAAGAAGGTAGATGGTGTCTACGCTGGTCACATAGCACTCTTTCTTGCCATCCCAATAGATGCAGCTAATGCAGATGCTATTAGGGGCGCGATCGGCCGGTGCGACCGCCTTGAAATCAGCATGGATAATGCTACCACTCTGGCGTCTAGTGAAATGAACCAATCTTCTCTTGGAGGTGCGCTCTTCTGGCGACCAATTCTCTGTCATGGAATCCAGATCGCCGTCGATCTTCAGAACAGCTTTGGAAGGATACATGGCGTAGGGGTTGAATGCTTGATTTGGGCCTGCGCCTGCCAAATGCTGAATGGTAGAGGTCCGAATGAGAATCGGATTCATAGTTTTGACAGGAGACGGCATCGAAGAGGAATGAGAATTAGGGGTCATGGACAGCCCAGGGCTGCGAGCAGATATATTGACCGTAGCGAACGAAGGGCTCCATGATGATGCTAGAGGAGACGGAGCTTTGATCATGGGCTGCGATGTACCTGTAGTTCCAGGGTATTGTAGCAGAGATGGCCGAGGAGACACTGGATGGTATTGAGCTGGATAGACATTTGCTGTCGTTGGAGTTGGAAGATAAGGAGAATATGGGGATCCCGAGAGGCTTTCGCTGTATGTGAATGTATTTGTAGGCTCCTTAATCCGCAGCTGCTTCACGGGCGCTGATCGGGCAGATCTTGATGTTTCGTCTGAGGCGTCAGAGAGTCGTCTCTTCCGCGATGTCCCGGCAGGGGAGACCGCAGACTGAGGATTATGGTCGTAAGTAAAAACACCAACATGGACGGCTTGGGCGCCTTGGCCCTCGCTCTCTTCCATAATCATTTGTAGAGGGACTGTGAGTGAAGGACAACCTGTAGCTGCAAAGGGCGGCACGTCAACAGACAACACATACTGAAAGTTGGATTTAAGGAAGCCTAATGAAGTAACGACACATTCGCACCGTTCCGACCCAAAGAGAAACGAGACAGAAGTCGGAGCAGCAGGTGAGAGGAAGTCGTACGGGCACTGGAGATAGACAGAGAGCTTTGATCCTTCATGGCCAGTGAGTGGAGTGTACGATGCGACTTCCGGCAGCTGACGGGAACCCAAGTCCAAAACAGGAGAGCGGGGCAAGTCAAAGGAATGAGATCCGGAGTATCCTTCATTGGTCACGTAATGTACACTATCGTCGTCCGGGATGGTGTGGCTTTCCAGGGCGGAGGGAAACAGATGTGTTACGTAGGGTGGCTGAGCATAAGCGGAGAATCCAGCCGTGTCATGGAGTGCCCGCGTGGCATCATAATCTGGCAAACCGAAAAAAAAAAAAACAATACAGCCGTCAGTTTAAAATAAATCCATACCATGTGTGACCCCCTTTTTCCTAATCTGAAAATACCGCAGTGTGATTGGTACATAGCCGAAATAAAAATTCATGTTTTTTGTCTTCTTTTCCGTGCAAAAAAGATTTCCATAGCCAAAATCTGTCTTGGCAAGGGGATGGACCATAACATAGGCCACCTAAGGATGAAAACGGGGGGTAACATAAAAACATCATTGCACTCACCAAGGAAATCGGCTTGTGGTGATTTCTCGTAAGCTGACATGGAAAATAATCCCCCAGACTTGGCTAGAAGCCCGTCTGAAAAGGCTCCAGCGAATCTCGATTCCTCAGGATCGGAAAAGTCGAAAGATTCGTCTAGGATCAATGGAGTCTGGAAATCCAGATCCAGCTAATCATGGGCGGAAACAGAGAAAAGTTAGCAAATGGTAACACAAGAGGGAAACGAGTGTGAGAACGGGTGTCAGATGTTCCGTTGGAGCAGGTACGCGCGCGGAGCGAATGACGAATATGCGTGGGTAAAATGTACGATAGAAGAAGAATCAAACACAGATGGAAAACGAAGAACATGGGAGACATAGACTTACTTGAGCAGAGTGACTCTTTGGGAACGCCAGGGTGACGGTGTTGCAATACATGCAACGCGGGAAAACTGTTTAAATAAGCGAGTGGACGAGATTCAAAAATCTCA